CACTTCAGGAGAACTGAATTTTATGAATGAAACTTTTAAAACGTTACCTGTAAATTGTATATGTTATATCTGTGTATTCTACCTGGCAGTGCGCTTCAAAAGGGGGGGGGGGGGGGGGTCGTCTTGAACATAGTACCTAACGTTTGAACGGTAAGGGTTAGGGCTTTCGTATTTCAAATATGTAATCCTTGTGAAAAGAACTTTTATTGGACACCAAGAACTTTGACCCTTTGACCTAGACCTTGGAGAACACATGTGTACATCTGAATCTTTTTTTCTGTTTCGTTTCTATGGCAACTGTGAGCGACTCATTACAATTTATTTAAAAGTAGAAATCACTTTGACACATTGCAAGGAATAAACACTGAAAGTTTCAAAACGATTGCCTGCGTAGTTATTGAGAAAATCGAAATTAAAGAATTTTAACTTTCACCTGGTTTCCGTGGCAATAATCGATTATTTGAAAATTTTAAATGCGAGTTGCATAACTACAGATACTAATCATTAAAATAAGAAAAGTTTCATGACGAACGTTTAAGGGACCAGAGAGTACACTCTCGGACAAAATTTGTCGCTTTTTACAGGTTTCCATGGCAACGGTAGACATATTGGAACTGAACAACCTCACTGCACAACTACAACCAGTGATCGTCCTTTGAGGAAAGTTTCAGGAAGATTGTCCCAGCCATCTCCGAGAAACAGCCTGGATAAAAAAAACATGCGTACAATATCAATATGTCGTCCCCGACTTCGTTCGGGGCGACATAATAATAATAATAATAATAATAATAATAAGAAACAGAGTAAAAACAATATGTTCCCCAACTTCGTTTGGGGAACATAATAAGAAACAGAGTAAAAACAATATGTTCCCCAACGTCGTTTGGGGAACATAACTAGTGCTAATTGTAACGGGAACCGTTACAGATGTTCCCCAAACGCTCCCCAACTCCCTTCTCGTGCCTTTATTCCCTGTAAGTTTAATTTAAGCAATGCAGGCGTGCGCATGTGATTGCATGAGCGTTATGACGATATCATCTTGTCTACACTATTTTACTCATTTGCACGTGCACGCACGTGCATGATGACCATACCTTCTTGTAGGTGTCCATTATGCCTGTGTTCTTAATCCCATCCTGTTTGGTTGAAAAACAAGGGAGTTATAGCCATTTAAATTTAAGCCAATCAGATTGCAGCGCACGTGCATGCGCGTATTTTCATGACAATTATTATATATCATATTGTAGGACATCTTAAAGTATGCCTATGTTTTATATTTCAAAGCATTTTGTAAAAAAACAGAAAAGATACTGAGATTTTTGTTTCAGCCAATCAGAGCAAAGCGCACGTGCAGGCACGTGCATGCAAGTGAATGGGGACAATACCATCCTGTAGGAGTCCTTTATGTCTATCTATCTTCTAAATCCCATGCTGTTTGGTTGAAAACCAAGGGAGTTATACTCATTCAAAGTTTCAGCCAATCAGATTGCAGCGCACGTGCATGCGCGTGATTTGATGAAAAATTTTATATATCATATTGTAGTACATCCTAATGCATGTCTATGTTATAAATTTCAAAGCATTTCATCATAAAACAAAAAAGATATTAAGATTTCTGTTTCAGCCAATCAGAGCAAAGCGCACATGCATGCGCGTGAGTTCATGCAAATTTGACCATGTCATCTTATCTACACAACTTATATATCTTTATATAATGAGTTTCAAAACATTTTATCAAAAAATATAAAAGTTACAACCATATTAAATATATCAGTCATTTTAATCATTGCACGCGCCCGCACGTGCATGCGAATGCGGGCAAAATGACCTTCGTTCGGCACATCTACACATTATGCCTACTAACCCTAAAAAGGTTTTAACTTAGTTTGGTGAACAGTTTCTGAGAACACTTCCGGACAAAAAAGTACCGGAGAAGAAATAAGAAGAAAAAAGAATAATAATAACTAGTGCTAATTGTAACGGGAACCGTTACAGATGTTCCCCAAACGCTCCCCAAATCCCTTTTGATGCCATATTCCCTGTAAGCTTCATTAAATAAAACAACATTTGTGCATTTTTGACTTTAACAACGTTTTCCCAAAAGGATACCAATTATATTCAAATTTTAACATTGCACGCGTGCCCATGTGAATGCACGTGCGTAATGATCATATAATCTTGTCTACACTTTCTATATATTTAAATAAACTTTATATTAAAGCATTTAGTCCAAAAGTATATAAAAAATCACTCATTTAAGTGTATTTTTAATTTCACTCGTTCCAAATGCACGCACGTGCGTGCACGTGCATGATAACGATACCCTCTTTGCAAACATGTATTGCTTCTTTTAAAAAAATTATCAAAGCAACTGAATACTTGTAGGAGGCCTTTATATCTATCTTTGTTCTAAATTCCATCCTGTTTGGTTGAAAACCAAGGGAATTATAGCCATTTCAAGTTTCGGCCAATCAGATTGCAGCACACGTGCATCCACGTGATTTCAAGAATCTTTCTCTATATCATATTGTAGAATATCCTAATGCATGACTATGTTTTAAATTTCAAAGCATTTTGTCAAAAAACATAGGATATGTAGCCATTTAGAGTTTCAGCCAATCAGATTGCAGCACACGTGCATGCGCGTGATTTCTTGAAATTTTTTGTATATCATATTGCAGGATATCCTAATGCGTCACTATGTTTTAAATTTCAAAACATTTCGTCAAAAAACAAAGGAGATATACCCATTCAAAGTTTCAGCCAATCAGATTGCAGGGCACGTGCATGCGCGTGATTTCTTGAAATTTTATCCATATTATATTGTAGGATATCCCAATTCATGACAATGTTTAAAATTTCAAAGCATTTTGTCGAAAAACAAAAGAGATATTGAGATTTTTGTTTCAGCCAATCAGAGCAAAGCGCACGTGCATGCGCGTGAGTTCGTGCTAATTTGACAGTGTAATTTTATTAACACTATTAATATATCCTCATGTACTGAGTTTCAAAGCATTTCATCAAAAAATGTAAAAGTTATAGCTACATTAAGTAAATCGGTCAATTCACTCATTACACGCGCACGCACGTGCAGGCGTATGCGCGCAAAATGACCTTCGTTCCGCACACCTACACTACACACCTATTAACCCTAAAAAGGTTTTAGCTCAGTTGGGTGAACAGTTTCTGAGAACACTCGCGGACAAAAAAGTACCGGAGAACAAATAAGAAAAAAAATAATAATAATAATAATAAGAAACAGAGTAAAAACAATATGTTCCCAAACTCCGTTTGGGGAACATAACTAGTGCTAATTGTAACGGGGACCGTTACAGATGTTCCCCAAACGCTCCCCAAATCCATTTTTGTGCCATATTCCCTGTAAGCTTTATTAAAAAAGGCAAACTCTATGCATTTAAGACTTTATCAACGTTTTCCCAGAAGTATACCAAGTATATTCAAATTTTAGCATAGCACGCGTGCGCATGTGAATGCATATGCATAATGATAATATCATCTTGTCTATATAATTTAGAAATCTTGATATACTAAATATTGAAGCATTTAATCCAAAAGCATTCAAAAATACACTCATTCAAGTGTATTTTTAATTTTACCAATATCACGTGCACGCACGTGCATGCACGTGCATGATGACCATACCCTCTTGTAGGAGTCTATTATGTCTGTGTAAGGTCCAAATCCCATCCTGTTTGGTTGAAAAACAAGGGAGTTACAGCCATTTAAAGTTTAAGCCAATCAGATTGCAGCGCACGTGCATGTGCATGCATTTATGAAAATTGTTACATAATATATTGTAGGATATCTTAATGCATGCCTATGTCCAAGATTTCATAGCATTTCGTCAAAAAACGAAAAAGATATTGATATTTTTGTGTCAGCTAATCAGATCAAAGCGCACCTGCACGCACGTGCATGCATGTGCATGACGACCATACCTTCTTGTAGCAATCCATTATGACTGTCTATGTTCTAAACCCCATCTTGTTTGGTTGAAAAACAAGGGAGTTACAGCCATTTAAAGTTTAAGCCAATCAGATTGCAGTGCACGCGCATGCGCATGTTTTCATGACAATTGTTATGTATCATTTTGTAGGACATCCTAAAGTATGCCTATGTTTTAAATTTAATAGCATTTTGTCAAAAAACAGAAAAGATATTGAGGTTTTTATTTCAGCCAATCAGAGCAAAGCGCACGTGCATGCGCGTGAGTTCGTGCTAATTTGACAGTGTCATATTATTAACACCATTAATATATCCTTATATAATGAGTTTCAAAGCATTTCATCAAAAAATGTAAAAGTTATGACTATATTAAATATATCAGTCTTTTCACTCGTTTCACGCGCCCGCACGTGCAGGCGTATGCGAGCAAAATGACCTTCGTTCCGCACACCTACACTACACACCCATTAACCCTAAAAAGGTTTTAACTTAGTTTGGTGAACAGTTTCTGAGAACACTCGCGGACAAAAAAGTACCGGAGAACAAATAAGAAAAAAAATAATAATAATAAGAAACCGAGTAAAAACAATATGTTCCCAAACTCCGTTTGGGGAACATAATAATAATAATAAGAAACAGAGTAAAAACAATATGTTCCCCAACTTCGTTTGGGGAACATAATAATAATAATAAGAAACAGAGTAAAAACAATATGTTCCCCAACTTCGTTTGGGGAACATAATTAATGTATTTAAAATGTTAAATAAAGAAGAAAAATAAATACACATCTTGAAATAACGTTAACAACCTAAAGTCATGTACAACGTGAAAATTACAAAGACTAGTTTTTATGACAAAGAGGAGATAATATCCATCTCCATGACGACAATAGATATATATAAGAGTAATTCTGATGTGCAGTTAATGGCAAACCGATACGATCACAGCGATAGAATGTCAATAAGAAATGGCCAGTTTGGATTGAACGTCAAATCCAGAAATGTGAGAAAGGCACTAGAGTCTAGGTCGCAATGATGGACAACAGCAGTGAAGTGGTGGTCTGGGAGAAGTTAAATGACGCTAGTTATGTCTCAATAGGAGTGTATCTTATCACTCTGGGTAAGTTCTTGACCATTCTCTTACTTAACTTGGGGCAGTATGAGTTTCAACGCTGCATGCATAATAAGTATATTACTTTTGACTCTTTGAGGAGAGAAAAAACTTTTAAATTTCATACTAAATGTAAAACGGGTTTATATTTATAATTATTTTTTTTTTTTTTGAAATTATCAAGTAATTTTTTTTTCTTACAAGCATCCTTGAAATAAAATCTATAAAATTTATAACACCATTTCATATGTGGAGTCAATTAATAAATTATGCAGATAAAAGCTGTATTCAAACCAAAAGTTCATTCAAACAACACAAATCATGAGCAGAGCAAACACAGACCCCTCCCCCAAAAACATCAGAGGGGGGTTAGGTGTCTTGGAGAAGTGAGCACCCAGTACAGACCAGTCAAACGGGCATGTACTCCTTATCATGATCGAGGAAAAATATTTTCAATTTTTTTCAAAATTAGTTTTAATTCAAATTCAATTTGAATTTTTAGGAAAATCAAATGTGTGCAATTAACTAGTTAAATGGTCACAATAAGAACAGAAACATGAAAGGCCAATGCAACGTTACCTCTTCAATAACTACTGAAACGTTTCTGGCTTTGATACTATAAATTAATGAAAAGAGCGAATATAACATAAAACTCACAGGGTGTCAGAAAAAGACTTCAAATTGAGCATATTTTAAAAGTAACGTTAAGTTGAATAATACGTTTTTAAAGTAACTCATTTTGACGTACAATTTAGGCAACTTTATTAATACGAAATGGATTAAATCTTTTACCCAATCCAATGATGTGTGTCAACTAAAATTAAATTTTTTATGTATAAATGTCACATATATCTGAGACAACATAAGCATTGCCTTCATTAACAAGGTCTGAACAAAATATTAACTACAGACAGAAAGGTTACTGACATGTCTGTCCTTCTCCTACATATTTTCACATCTTTTGTAGTGATAATATGATGGAATTTAAAATGATAAAACATGAGAAAAAACATTAGTACCCAAGGTCAATAACAAAGACAATACAAACTTTTTGTAGAGCAAGCTCGCACCCTATATAACATTAGATGTGTGATTGATACCCTCGAGGAGAACGCATCCCCCCCCCCCCCATCAAGCTGTCACATCCCCAGTATGTTCCTTGTCATGATAGAGAAACTAAAAAAAATTCCTCAAACAATTCAATGTGGACAAAAAGCCTGACAATTTAATGAAGATGTCTGTCAGTTTCGACTTGACAATAGAATTAATATACTAAAATGGTAATGGTATCAGACATAGAATTCGGAAGATTTTTAATTTAAACCAGGCTGTTGATCCTTGTTACATCAACTTTGATGTCAATAGCCTGTCTTGCTTTAGAAATTATTTACATAGACCACGTTCTTATATTTCAAATCAAATTAGAAACAAGGTGATAAATGAGTGAAGTTGACAATAGAAAAGTTGAGGCCATCAGGTCTATTTCTAAGTTTTGTAGCTAGAAATCAAATAATGCACATTTATTTTAAAATAAATATATGAGTCAGATTTCATTTAAATGTCTTTTATATCAAAGGGATATTCAAAGGAATATATTTTATCAACGCAGAAATGAAAATAAAATGAATACGGTTTTGCATATTTATTTCTGTGTAACAATTAAAGAGACACCATGACGCACAAAAGGAAAATTGACAAATGTAGAATTTTTGCATGACCAGTGTAAATTTTGTTCAATTCCTAAAAGTATAAGGTTTCAGAAAATTACAGGTTTCAGAACTTACGAATTATATTTTATGGAGAAAAATAAAAATAAAAAATATAATTTCAGTATGCACCATAACGAAAATATTGCAAAATACCCTGGTACTTCTTCCTCCCTATTGTACGCGTGCGCAGAAAAGTTGAATAAGTTTCCATAGTTACCATGGTCTCAAGTATCCGCGAATGAATGTAAGTAGACCAAAATTTTAATCTTTTAAAAAAGTTATTAGAACATATGTTTCACCTTTGTATGCTCCAGTTGAATGTTATTTACAAGTTTGAGCTAAAAATAAAAGTGGTGTGACCTTGACATACACGAAACAACGAAAGGGTAGATACAACCTTTGTTTTTCCGGCACTTATATTGTGTGCAGTCTTTACTTGCAGTTTAATTGTCATATCTTATCTATATACCCAAGTTTTTCTCTGTATGCTACAGATATCTTAATAATAATATTAATAATAATAATAATAATAATACTTTATTTAAAGAGGGTAACAACCCGATTAGTGCAATGCACTAGTCTTCTTCGGAGCCCTCTAAACAAATTCTTAATAACACAATTATAAAAACATTGTACAATATCATAATAAATAACACAACATGACGTACAAATACAATTACATATAAAGACGATTTTAGGATATGGAATTATATTTCTTTCAGTTGCGGCATGTTATGATAAAATTTTCTACATTTTTACGAAATTTTTGTACAGTTGGTGAAAAACGTATATGCAAAGGTAATTTGTTCCATAAATGAACACCGGAATAATGAAAAGAATTTTAAATTGATTTGTTCGATATTTCGGTAGGTGAAGGTAATAGTTTGTTTCAGATCGTAGAGCATAATTATTAGAAGAAATAAATTCGAAGGAGTCTCTGAAATAAGTAGGTGCCATACCATGAAGTGTTTTGTACAGTAATATATATTTATGAAAATCAATCACCTCATATATGGTCAGCCATCCAAGTCTTAAAAGAAAGACATGGTTTTGACTCATTGGGTCCTATATATGTAAATAAAATAATAGCCATCTGGCAGAGGGAAAATTCGACCCACAAATCTAATAATCCTATTACGAAGAAGGATGTAATTCATACACCATATATTAACTCAATCAATGGAACAAACGCACCTTTCAAGTAATCAAATATGGAATTTGGCTACGGATTACTGTAAACCAACTTTTATTCGCGACGACTTTATTTCGCGATTTACCGAGGTTCAACTAGTTCGCGACGATTTATTTCGCGATCAAATTTTTTTTTAATCATTTGTTAATAGACAGAGACTTGGCGAAAATTTCTCGCACGCGAATAAAAGTTGGTTTACAGTATTCAGTCTTACTGATCAATAAATGGGGTTCACGGCGGGTGTGACCAGACGACAGTGGCGGGATGTTAACTACTCATAGGCAGCTGATCTCAATTTGATGCCCTATTCACATATTTATATAGTTTGTAGGTTTCCTAAAATCAATCACTCTTCGTTATCTTTTTCTATTTCATTGACTGAAGCACACTTGAATAATTTTTTTCAACCCGCGACGCACGTTGAAATAATTCGGGGATCAGTCATTAAGCTCCTTTACACGTCTTACATCAAAGACAAAGCTAAAATCACATTTTATTCTTAATAATTGACAAAACCTTGTCCAGAGTTTCGGGAATATCTTTTTTGTGAATTTCAATAGGGAGCACGTTTTTGCTTGGTCATTATTCTTGATAAAACTTTTTGCTTTTTTTTTAGCTAAACCCTTTCGCTTGGTTTTACTCTTGCATTCATATCTTACTGAACTGTAATCACATCATTTCAGCGCTGATTTATGTTACAGGTAGACGTCTTCCATTGTGAAATCCTATAAGGTACCTACATATTATTAGGTGTTCCGATAAGTCTCTTGTCACTTTAATTACCAACTTAATTCACAATACCTGCGTTTATTAGCTGTAAAATAAGCGGCTTACTGTAAGAGATGATTTGAGATAAGCCTCACATTATACGGTCATCACGAAGTAAACACTGTCGGCATTTACATTTATAAGATACAGACCCTATTATTTCAGCAGTAAAATATAAGTAATGCCATATTTCAGAAACATATACTCAGCGTTCGATATAAAAGTTAGGCTTTTGTAAAAAAAAAAACCTGAGTCTTTTGAGTGCCACGGTTCCAGAGTAATTGGTCTTCAAAAAAGAATCCATATCTATAGTTTTCTTATAGTAGAGGACGAGACACACACAATTTCAGTATAAAAAAAGTTATATTAGTAATCATTAAAAAATGCAAAACGGTCTGATATTATGCCCTCAAAGTTTACAATTAACTCAGTGTTTACTATTTACTAAGAATAAATGGAATGAATTCGATGTTTAATTAAAAACGAAAGACTTTCCTTATAGCTTTATACACCATTCTTTAAGATAAATTAAAAAAAACACACATGCTTTTTAACGACGTTCGATCCTGATATTTAAAGTCTTAAACTTTTTTTGCCAAGTATATTTTTAGTTTCTACATACATAGCTTAATTAAAATTCAAATCAAAAAATGGGGGTCAATATGCTTCTTTTAGCGCTACAGTACATTTAATATGACCTTTCTGCACTGAAATTTGTCTCTTAATTAAAAATTACATCTTCGACGTTTTCCCTCCAATATTTTTATCCAATTAAAGCATGAAACTAAATGAACTCTAAGTCTGTTTAAAAAAAGACACTTAAAAATTGTGACTAAGAAAAAGTTTAAAATTGCTTCGCATAATCAATTATTTGACCTTTCTGCACTAATAAAATGTTATTTTTCCGGCATTGAAAATATAATAAGCAAGAAAATTATTTTAAAGTCTTAAACTTTTTCTGATTTTAAGCAAATAGGTCAAAGTAAACTTGAATATTTAGAAAAGAACATCAAAAGTAGGGATATATGATGTACATTTTCAGATATTACTAAAAAAGTGTGAATTTTACGTTAAATTTGGCTCAATTTTTTCCCGGATTTTCAGAATATATTTACTGTATTTGTCACACTTTGTTGATAAAATTCATGAAAAATAATGTAATAGATATTTCAGAACTAGCATAACATATTTCACTGCAGAAAACAGCTGTGTGTGCAACCAGCATGGAAAAATAGGCATCCAAAATTAACAGTACTATTATAGTTCAAATGGAAAAAAACTGACCATTTTCGTCTAAAAAACCTTCCGCCACAAATATAGTCCCTAGCTTAATTCTATTTGAATGGAATTTAATCGCGGTTTTTTCATTGAATATACTTTAATTTGCATTGTAGAATTCAATTTTATTGTTAGAACCTAAAAATGATGCTTAATTTTATGAATAAAGGACCTGCGCGAAACACGCTCAAAATATCAGGATCGAACGTCCTTAATTTCATATAATTCTGCTATTTCCTACAAATTCTGTTTACATAATCAAAATTTTACGACATTCAAAAACCTGCTCTGAGTACCATCTATTATTCAACCCAGTAAGGCTACAGATAAATAGGTTGATGTTACAGGGATTTCAATTAGGATATGGAGATAACGAACAGTATTCAATCTCAAAGTCTATAAAACAATACAAAATAGGAGCAGAGCAAACACGGACCTCTAAAACATCAGAGGTGGAATCAGATGCCATGGAGGAGTGAGCATCTGCTGCTGACCGGTCATACCCGCTGTGTGCTCCTTGTCATGATCAGGAAATAACGGAAAAATCCGTCATCAATTCAGTGTGTTAAATAATTGCCAATTAGTATGAAAAAAGTCAGTCAGCATTTGACTCAATAATAAATTGTATTTGCTGACAAGGTCATAGGACTTATGATGACTTTAAACGAACAATCCCCATGAAAGTCTGCATTTCGTAAATGCTATGGTCATTAATAATGATGTTAATAACAAATATGATCTATTACTGGATGTTCTATAATAGTTAGTTTTTTGATGTTAATAAATTAGACTAGAAACGTTCCGCCCACAAAATTGATAAACAATTGATTCACGGTAGGTGTAATCGGACAAATGGGGATGCTTACTCCTCTTTGGCACCTGTTCCATCTAATTTCAGAAGATCCGTGTCCCATGTCCTGTTTATAGATTTGTACTGTTTGTTTATTTTTGTGAGACTAATCTTTGTCCATTATCTTCACGTTTTCTTCCCAGTGAATAGTTGCTAAGTAGTAGATATTCTCCGTTATTATATCAATATCCGGATTTATTTTGATGAAAATATATTTTTGGTTTATCGATTGAAATAAGCTTAAGTTTCTAGCTAAATTACAATGTTGACATTTCTTAAAGTCCTGAAATGAAACCAATCTTTATGCTTTTTTTAGATTACCATTAACGTCTTTTTCAAATGAAATATCCAAAATAATAGGATTAAAATGGTAATTAGTGGCTTTTATAATAATCAATAATTATCATAATAATAAATGATCAATTAGCTATTTAAGAACAACACTTGGTTTGTTCCCGTTTTGCACACATTTTAATTACAAGTAATTAAAAAATGTGTGAAAATGGGAGTTTGACCAGGTGAAATAATTACTTAATTGCTATAGTCTATACCATACTTAGTAAGTATGTGGAAGGTAAACTTATAGTGAAAATATAGAATAAATAATAGGTGAAATTATATGATGATCTTAACATCTTCTTGGCTTGGGCATTATTTTCAAATTAATTTTTATTCTCTATTTTCTTTACTATTTGTTATATCTTGAAATCATTTATCAAGATTGAAAATTTTTTTTTAAAGAAATTGGACTAAATTAATCAATAATATCAAATAAATAAATATTAATATTGTACTCCCATAAATATATATAGAATTTTAATAAAATGTGTATAAAATTGTATTAAACACTTTACGAATACATTTAGCTAAATCAGGTATTCACAGGTAAATCCAGGTAAATCCAAACCATAAATCAGACTATAATTGCTATCAAAACACACTTAACACCTATTGTTCTATACCTAAATTACAAATGTGTGCAAAACGGGAACACACCCAACACTTACGCCCTTAACCCGAAGGACAAGTCAATTATTTTACTTTTCAATTTTTGTTTAGTGTACACTGCAAAAGGCAAAAATATTTTATTGTCAAACACGCCTATGCCTTAAACTTGATTAAAAAGAAAAATATACAAATATTGATTGATTGTATATTGTTTAACGTCCCAATCGAGAATTTTCACTCATACGGAGACGTCACCGTATGTTGGTGAAGGGCTTCAAATGTAGACCTATACTTGGCACTCAGGGCCATTGAGCAGTGAGAGTCATAAGGAATAGTCATTACCTATGTTTACGTCTTAGGTTTGACGCAGCGCCGCGAATGAGAGTCGAACCGGGGCCTCCCAATCACGAAGCGAACGCTCTACCACTAGGCTACCGTGACAGGTAAAAACAATGTAATAAGAAGACGATCAAATAATTACATGCTTGATATTTTCAGCCCCAACAGCCATTTTTGGAAACTGCCTCGTTCTTTTTGTATTCTGGCGGAAGAGTTTGTACAAGAGACCGGTAAACTGGTTTATTGTCAACCTAGCGGTGGCGGATCTAATAGTGTCCCTTTTTGCACATCCAATGTCAGCGACCACCGCCTTTACCAAGAGGTAAGTTTTGTAATATAAAAAGGATATTCATTTTCTTTGGAATCAAGACAAAAGACATGTTTTCCCATAGGTATAGGAATATCTCCTGTCAAGACTTTTGAAGTTCTAAATTCATTCTCTTTCCATTTGCTTGATATGTCGTTAAGAGGTTATCTATGGTAATACCAGGAAATGGAAAGTTCCTAGCATTTTTGCAGGCTTTTTTGAGCTTTTCATTTTCTTGTTAAAGTTTGATCACCGTTCATCTGTTTACCATTTGTCTATCTGTCTGTCAATCTTTAAATAAATTTTCACTTTTGACATATGTTTGGTTGAAAGTCATTAAATCAATATTTTTTCTAAATAAAGACTTAATCACCTTCCAAAGCTGCTGGTCATCCGCGTTGCGCAGTGTTAGAGCGTCTGCTCTATAGTCGCGAAGTAAGGAGGTGATCCTTATGTCGCGGGTTCGAATCCCACTGTGGGACGTGGAGACCGGTCTTTCGGATGAGACCGTATAAACCGAGGTCCCGTGTCGCAGTAGGTGCTGGCACGAAAAAGATCCATCCCTGCTCAATGGCCCTGAGTGATGAGTATAGGAGCAGCTCTCCAGCGGGAAGTGGTGGCGTCTCCATAGAAGTGAAAAAATTCTCATGAGGGACGTTAATCAATTAATAATTAATCGATCAATCAATCCAAAGCTGCTGTCCAAAGTGATCAATTATCTAAATCAAATATCTTGATCTTAATATGAAAGGACTATAAAACAGTTAGAAGGCCGATGTATCACGTCACTCAGCTGAGTTACCAAGGCTAGTGATATTCTTTATCAGCAGGTTTGTGTCCTATACCTATTCCAATATAAAACCTTTGTCATATTTTGTGACTTTTGAGTTTTAATTATTAACAATGCAACTTTGAATCTACAAATCTACACTACTTGAGGGAGTGTTTCCATATCAGTATGACTTATCACAACTTTGTTGTTCTTGTATAGAAGATTAAAACGTTTACCCATACTGTAAAAATTCAAAAAATATAATTATTCTAGGAGAATTTACCTACGTTTTTCTATTTAAATTTTTGATTGCTCATTTTGGTCACACCTTACCATAGGGTTTATGATTTGAACTTTCAGTATATATTACCAAAGGCTGCTTCTAAACAATTTTACTGAACATGGCTTTGCTGTTGTTTGGAATGATTTTTTTTTTAAAGTATTTTTCCTTGTGTATTCCTTTGTAAAACTTTTGATCACCAACGGAACCCCACCTTAGCTTCAGGGAACATGATTTGAACAAACTTAATATTATTTTACCTCAGAATACTTCCATAAAAGTATATTTTATTTTTTTCATATTCCTATATAAAACCTTGATTTATTGTGAACATCTATATCCCAAATAATTATGATTTGACCAAAATTTAAAACAAAATCTACATTGAGTAACAAAACATTCACTTATTCAATCTTTTCTGAAAAAAGTTATTCTTAAGAAATAACTTTAAATATGCATTTATCATTCTTGAAAGAAAGTATGACCCTTAATTCGTTTAAAGAAACTAAAATTCCTTCTACATAATGATGCTTCGTAGTATCTTTGGTTGAATAAAGTGGTTCATAAGAAGTTGAAATATGAAGAATTGACAGTCAAAGATGAACACTAGGTGCCCTTTAGCCCAGGGGAGCTAATAAAGTAATCAAATTCTTCAGATCAGCAAGAGCCAAGATTTGTCAAATTAATAGAAGCAGCCAAAAGCAATGTACGGTTTACTATCTTAAGATGTCCGTATCAAAAACAAGAAACAACAATATTTTTTAAAGGTGATATACAAGCAAACCTATAAAAGTAGATTCCAGTTTTCTTCTGAACCAGTCCCAAAAGACTTTGAAAAGTCTTTAATATGTTTATAAGGGAAACAAATATGTATATTGGAAACATTCTTAAAAATCTTCTAAATAATTAAAGTCTATAAACAAGTACTCCCATGTTATGTGGCTTTACTTCATGCACACTGTGTATAATCATTAATTCTTTTTTAAACCAACCTATAAATTATTCTGCAAAAACACAAATATTACAGCTTTTTGATTTGAGACACAGCCCTTTTTGTCAAAATCTTAATCATGAACTGTATTGTAATATCCACATTTAGAATATACATTGACAAGAAAAGAATTGACAGTAAATTTTGAGTGGTGGGGCCCATGGGCCTTTGTTCTAGAGTGTCAATTTTCAATGGAAATATACCATTCTCTCTGAAATGTTTCAAGAACATGTAAAAACTATATTTTTGACTGAAATTCTGAGTGTTTTATAGATCTATAAAAATGCAATAGTCTTACATTTCAACGTGATTCTATTTACAGATGGAATCTTGACGTAGTAGGTTGTCAAGTGTACGCCTTCATCAGTTATACAGGTGCTTGTAACAACATCATGACCTACGCTGCTATTAGCTATTTCCGATGTCAAATTGTCTGCAAAAACAGATACAGTAAGTTTAAAAAAGTGAAATTAAAATGGTTTAAAACTCGAAATTAATAATTTTCATGGCATATTATATCTGCTAATGATTGATAAAAGGAGAAGAAGGAAGAGAAAATTAAAGAGTTTTCATTCTAGAATGCATAAAGTCTTCAGTTTACTTCAGTTGATTCTGCGGGACATTTTCTTTTACTTTTCTTTTTAATACCACATGGTGCATATGCAGGAAAAATACAAGTAAAACCACTTATTTAAACTTTCAGCTCACAGACCTTAATTTGTACATTTCAGTAGCTCGAGTTAAATGTGGGCGGGTCCTTGTCACGTTGGTGGCGATCTGGACCTTCAGTTTGTTTTGGACTATTTCCCCGCTCCTGGGTTGGAACACTTATGAACTAGAGCCGTACAGTATAACCTGTAGTATCCGTTGGACGGGGCATTCTCTGGGGGATAAGTCCTATGTCTGGTTGTGTCTCCTGTTTGTCTTTATATTCCCGCTGTCTGTCATGATCTTCTCCTACAGTAAAATTGCCAATCATGCACGGCGGCTCTCGTTAACCACACAACCAAGCGAAATCGAGAACAAGTCGAAGTTTCTGTACAACTTGGAGCGCGGGGCAACAAGGGTAAGTCATTTAGGGGGTGTTAGTTTTAAGCCGAGTCTTCCAAGGAATGTTTAAACTTATAAATCGATAATGTTTTTGCAGTGATAGCCTTTTTGTTATTTCAGAGAGATATTTGGAAATTTTCTTTAAAACTTGTAACTTCAGATTTTTTTTTCACGACATACACTGTATATATAAACTTTAAATCACACTAACAGATAAATCGTATATGTCTGGCTTCTTAATAAGCACTAACTTTCAATGCTCTCGCTTCAAAGCAACAAGGATCACTTGAAGGAAGTAAGAAGGTGCTCATTAAAGAAAAGACCAAATATGACTGTTACTGAATAAAAAGAACATGTGTCTGGTATTGATATATAGCAATCAAATTCTACCTTATACGGATCGTCTATGTGCATTTGTACTTTCAATAATGCAGATTGGTAGAAAAGTATCCTTATTATTCAACATAATTTTTAAATAGTGTAGGCCAGCATTAGCTTATATTTAACATTTCGCTTTATGTTAATTTTCTGTTTTGATGTAATGAGATTTCTGAACATTGTTTTATTATGTTTAGAGTAATACTCTTACTATGAACATATGGCGAATCTCTTGATTTAGACTTTACAATCGTGCATTTGATATATCTATTGATTCAGATTTCACAATCAGACATTTGAATTGTCTTTTGATATATTTTTTTTCTTACTATCAGATTTCCCTTATGATGACAATGACATTCGTATTTACATGGACGCCATACGCCATTTTATCCACAGTAGCCGCAGCTGGCATCAACATCACATCTCCTGTCGTTTTACTACCTACACTTTTCGCTAAATCATCTTGTGCTTACAACCCATTTATGTTCTTTCTAAGCCACAATACATTCAAATCATTCAAATGGGGTTTCGCTTCGTGCACTAAAAACAATGCAGAGGATTCTGGGAAATTGTACGTGAACAAGGTTAAATTTAACAATCGAGTGGAACCGTCTGAGTTACCCAGGTGTTCCACAGGTGAGAGGAATGTACCACAGACTATAAAGCAACACCACAGCACAGGCGTAACACTAACAATTTCTGATGTTGAAGAAACTGGTATATAACGTAAATCAGCACATGTGTTTCAAATTAATCAAGTAAGGATATAATAGAATTGGGGGAAATATACATTCCCCAAATTTATCATAATTCAAAATATTTTCCCCTTCTGAATGGTTACTGAAAATCGACTGTTATTCTCGATTTTTTTAATTCGCAACTTATAAGTTTAAAATTTATGCGCTACGGCGCTACGACTGGGGAATTGCATGCCATTTTCTTAAATATAGAATGAAAGAATAAATTGGAGGATATAGAGATAACGAACAGTATTCAATATCAAAGTCCATAAAACAATACAAAATAGGAGCAGAGCAAACACAGACCTCCGAAACATCAGAGGCGAGAAGCATTTCCAGTAAAAGTAAGAAAGTCCCTTGCATATAATATGTGAATAAAATTTGGTTATATGTTCTGATATGCTTCAAATTTGAATATCAAGGTATTAAGTATTTTTATTAAACACATATATTTTTAACGCCTTCTCTTAACCACATAAGACTGATTAATCAATATTGGAAAGTTTTTTTTTTATGATGTATGAATGCCTTCCTTTTGTATAACTGTAGGTTTTGTTTGTGGTTATTTTTCAAACTATTAGAAATTTATTGATGTTCGTTTTTTGCTCTCAATTCTTTTTTATAACCAAGGTTACACCTACCTTGAAGATACTTCTGTAAGGAGGGAGGAGATGAATATACAAAGTCATTTTGATTA